GGTCGGCTGTAGAACGAAACGCTTACCCCGTTGGATCTATCCGATCCGTGGTTCCGTCCACCCCTCTATCTCTGCTGTTGCTGTGTCGCTGAGTGCATGTTGTTTGAGACCACCTCCACACTGGCATGTCGTCAGACAAGTGACCACACACCAGACACGTAGGTTTGGCTTGCCGTGAGGTGGATGCCATGTTGGTGCACGGTGGAATGAAAGATCGCCCCGGATCGCGGATGAACGCGGAGGGACATTGTCATTTATCCGTCGTCGTCGGATCATGGATCGTGGATCGTGCCGAACTTCTTTCATGATGTCGACATGGACTACACTGCTTGCGACCGTTTGCAGCACGGCCATGTCTTGAAGGCACACCCGCTGGCCAATTCGCCAACAACGGCAGATGTATGTATGTGCATGGACGCGTGTCGTGCGGCGGCGGCGGTGGATAGTCCAGTTTTGGGCGTGTGGTGGTGTGGTGGTGTGGTTGGGGGTGGGGAGGTTGTTTGGATTCCCCCCCGGGTGTGTTGTTGTTTGAGTTTGGGGAAAGAATGAGAGACAGCCACTGCTGTAAGACTGAAACACTTTGTGCCAGCCAAACTCCCAATCAATCAAGACCACCGCTGGAAGAGACAGATAAATCTGTAAGACTGAAACACTTTGTGCCAGCCAAACAATTCCAGGGTCTGCTCTTGTACACGGTGCTCACCTCTGTTTCTATATACCCTATCGCTCAAAACTCACCATTTTGGTCTGCGCCAACACGATGAAACTGGCCAGCGTGCTGTGCGGGACCACTGATTGAGGTTGACTGCGGGACCACCGATTGAGGTCGACTGCCGTGCCAACGGTCGTGCCAGCGGTGTTCGACCTTACAATATAATGTACGATGGCATGCAGCAATCACCCAAGCTGTGGTACCAGACTGTGGTGTGCTGCCCGAGCATGAGCATGGCCGAACGGTCCCGTTGTGCGACCAAGGGCTGGTCAATTTCATCGTCTTGTTGTCGCAGAACAAGTTGGTGAGTTTTGGGCGGTAGGGAATACCGTAGAAACGAAGGTGAGCACCGTGGATAACAGCAGATGGCCCTGGAATTGTTTGGCTGGCACATAGCTCTTTAGTCTGTGAGTAGTGGCTGTCTCTCATTCTTTCCCCAAACTCTAATAACAAACACCCGGGGTATCCAATTCCCCCACCACAACACCACACTACAAAAAACGGAACCGTGACAATACCGTATCCTTTATCCACCTCGCCGAAGGATACGTGTTCATGCGAATTGGCCAGTGGGTGTGCATTGAAGACATGGTTGTGCTTGCAACGGTCCCAAACAGTATCTAGTTTATGTTGACAGCATGAATGAAGGTCAGCATGATCCGACGACGACGGGAAAATGTTCATCCGCGTTCATCCGCGATCCGGGGCGATGTTTCATTCCACCGTGCATCACCATGGCATCAACCTCACGGCAAGCAGGCCCAAACTACGCGTGTGGGTGTGGTGTGGGTGTGGTGTGTGGACAGTCTTGCACCGTGCGAAGACACGGAAAACAAGCGTTCCCGCAGTCCAAGGCATAAGGGTTGTCTGTTCTCCAATTCCGTAACAACCCAAATCGCGTTGTTTTGCACGCAGCACAGAGAATCGTATCCTCGTCTCTTCCCTCTACATCAGACTGAGCATTAGGCGTTGTCCATCCAAATTTCATATATTATACTTAACGCTTTTTTCTTGCCCTGACCGTCGTCCTAAGGATGCAACAAGATTTATCACGCCACTTTTTTAGCGAATCTTCATCTCTTCATTGCTCTCTACACCACCTGTATATAATAACGAAAATATCTTGGAGGACCAGCACGGTTGCCCCAGGCAAGCTGCGATACCAATTCGGAAGAAAGAGCGGTTCGTTCATTGTTGAAACTACTGCTGTTGTCTTCAGGGAGCGTCACACAAGCTACACCATTGATCTCATAGTCTCGCCTCTTTGTTCTTTTGCGGGACGCAAGTCTGCCTGTCCCCGTCGGCGTGGGCGCGAATGCCTGGCGTTTCCGTGAAACCGAAGCCCTATCCCGGGAAACCGCAGGACCAACAACGGTATCACGCAAGGCAAACCGCGAAAAATCCCAGCAGAAAATAGGTGGCGGCAACGGCAAGCCAGCCTGAGATCCATCTTTTTACGCCCAAAAAGAGCCGGATTACAATCCACACCCCTTGTCTATACAAGCGCAACTCAGGGGAACCCCCAATTTCTGTTCCTTTTCGGGTGCACTTGATCCGTACCCACCCCCGATGATCGAACGATAGCACATGAACGGCCTCTACACAAGGTACGAGAAGCGCACAGGGCACAGACAAAAACAGCTCGTAATGATTGCTACGTAGAAGTAGAATCTTTTGCAGGTAGTGAACCTTTTTGAGAGCAACGGTTGTTGGAGGTCAGCTGTGTTGCCGGTAGCGTCTTTCACAGGAAATACAGTTGCTTGAGAGCACCCCAGGGCAGGCCTCTTCGACAAAAAGTATTCTTCCATTACCTCCGAGAAATACAATAAGTCACTTAACACCACGGCTGTACATTCGCGCTGCCAACATCACGTTCTTCGCGAAAAAAAAAAGGTTCACCTTCAGAACCTTCCTACCAAGCTATCAAGAAGGAGGGTGACTCTCGTAGAACCTTCCCTATCTACCGCTGTCCATCAGCCCCTCCTTCGCCCTCCCCTCGCCCCCCCCCGTGGTCTTCTCCCCCCGCCGGCGCTCTGAACACGCGGGCGCCGGTCATCCGAAACGCCTCCGCCGCCGCCTCTGCACCCCTACCCCCCCTCTCATCCTCCTCCGCGTCGGCCCCCGCCTCGCGCACGCCCTCCTGCCCCGGAGGCGGCCGCAGGACCCGAATCCCGCAGTTCTCGAGGTGCGGCAGCGACCGGTGCTGCTCCGCCGGCCGGCCCGCAAGGGCGCACTGCAGCAGCTGCAGCGCGTCCCCGTGGCTCACCAGTACGACCGCGCTCGGGCCGGGGGGGAAGGGCTGGCCGTCGTCCCCGGAGTAGTAGCGCTGCCGGATAGAGATCTCTTTTCTCAACCGGCGCACCACCGCCGCCGCCCGCTCGGCCACCTGCCGATGTGTATGTGTGTTTTTTTTTATTACTAGCATCGACCGCGCAAACTGGCTGACCAATGAAAAGACGTTAGTCTTAGTGCGGTTGAAAAAAACAAAACGCTTCTATCTCTGTGTGTGCGTGTTTATTCTTAGCATCGACCGCGCCGTGTGGGTGTGTTGTGTCTATCTGTTAGCATCGACTGCCCTAACCGGCTCACTAATGAAAAAGCATCAGTCTGAGTGCGGCTGAAGCAAACAAGGCTTCTTGAGGGCCATGATCTGGGACCTCGTGAGGGGCATCATGATGTGTGTGGGTGTGCTTTATTATTGGCATCGACCGCGCTAATCGGCTGACAGATGAAAATACGTCAGTCAGTGCGGTTGAAAACACAAAACACTTGTAAATGCCACTTCCCGGTGTGTGTGTGTGTGTGTGTGTGTGTGTGTTTTCTTTAATTTGCAATCGGCCGCGCTATCTGTGGCTCTGGCCAACGACTTGACGCCAGTCTTATAGCGGCACCAAAATACGCGAACACGCTTTCTAGTCAAAGGTCTCAACCGACAGGTAGGGCGCAGGAGTTGGACTACAATAGTAGTGTTCTACTCCTGGAGTACAAGGATGAAGACTCAATATCACCAAGCAGCGTGCGATGTTGCTGCATCATCTGTCCCCCCCCGCGCTAGCACCATTGCCCTGTACTGTGTTGCTTTCTATATCCGACTTCTGTGTGTACTTAGCCAAGTGTCGACGGCCATAACCGGCTGACCAATGTAAAGACGCCAGTCGCGTGACCGCGTAGGTTGAACCCGCGAACAACAACATCGGCAAAGATAACCACACAAACAAACTAAAACGGGATGTAGAGCAACCAAGCCAATGTTTGTTTCTGGGAAAATTGACGGCTGCGACGGCGGTCCCTATCTAACATTCTCTTCGGCACTGCAACATTCACCCCTCCTCGCTTGCGTGATGGGGGCTTCCGACCGCCTACTTGCTTGAGTGCGTGACATTCTCCTCGCATGTGATTATGGGGCTGCTGCTGCACGCCTACTTTTGATTGGAGTGATGTGCTATTCTTCTTGCCTGGGTAGCTGGCTCCACCCCGAGCTCCCCGTGGCGGGCGCTGACGGCGTCGAGGGCCCAGACCTTGGCGTAGCTGGCGTGATCCTCGCGGCCGTCAAGTTCTCCGAAGTAGCGCTCTCGGAGATCTCTGAAGTCGGAGCGGACGCGGGGGAGGGGGGGGGGGGGGGCGCGCGAAAGGGCGAAGGGGTGGAGAGGGGGGCACGCGAAAGGTAGAGGGGACGGAGAGTCAGAGTTAAGCGAGACAATGGGACAGAGATAGGGGGGGGACTAGAGTAGAAAAAGAGATACACCTATTTTTATTCAGTATCTCATAGCACACACCACACACCCCGGAGCCGTATCAAACAAGGCAGCGAAGGGTAGCGTGTGCTCATTTTTCGGTCACGATGACGCGGTGGCCTGTTCTGTACGTGGTTCATAAGACGACGTTCGTCTGCCGGAGTATGTAGCCGCCTGGCGACAGACTTGAAATGAAAAAACGCCTCTACTGCTGTAGCATGAAACACCAAGGGCGAGACAAACGTAGCGATCACTTCAATAGCCCACCACCGACGGACAAATTGAGACAATTATCATACAGGCCAAAGGCACAGAGCCTGTGCGCTCAACCCTTGTTTTTTTATCATGCAGAGATTGTCGTTGTCGTCGTTGTCGTCGGTGACTTCATGGTATCTCCTCGTCGTTTGTTCTTCCTTCGCACAAGACTCTTGAATTCGTAGACCCCTCTCCCGACCGCTGGCTGGCCTCTCGCAGCCCGGCAGGCTGTGGCATGGCTTCCACAGACAGCGAATGAGCTACGTGGCCCTTTAAAAAAAGGCGCACATTTTTACAACATGTAGGGAATCTTCGGGTAAAACTAAAAGCCAGGTGACCGCCTCAAGAGGAACGTCCAACCCAAATGGCACTCAGACGAATCTATCGGACCCCCCTCAGTAGTTGAAAGAATAATGGAGTTAACACATCATTCTCTGCAAGATACCTTCTTTCTTTCTCGAACCTCGCAGACACAACAACGAAACACTTCAAAAGAACAAGTGATACATCAGGGAAGACCAACATTGACGATATCCAAAAGACAACAAGACACCCAACAAAATGCAAAAAAAAAAAAAAAAACGAACCTTTCTTCCCGGAGGTCGCAGTCCAGACACTCTCGGATTGCCTCTGCTGTCTCCTTTGCTCTCGAGAACGGCGACGTCACCACCTGCCGTGACAAAAACGAGGCATCTTCAACGTAGTTATGAGCATGTTGTCTTTGGGCTCGCTCGCGCCTGACCGGTCGGGTGTGTGGTCCGGCGAGAAGGTACAAGAATGTACGGCAGAGGTGGAAACGGTCTTCGACGGGACGACAGCAACAAAGGAGGTTAGGTGTGCTGGAAGCAGAGGTCGGAAGTGGCATTCAACGCGACGACGACAACAACAACGACAACAACAACAACAACAACAACAACAACAACAACACTTAAAACGAGCAACTACAACGCCAGCACCAACAGCAGCAAAACCACCACCACCACCACCACCCACCAAAACGAAAAAACGGCACCTCTTAACACCACTACATCTGCTATCCACAAATAGCGAACGCTTCTGTCGAGGACGGGGGGAGGAGGGGGGGAAGGAGGCGGGACATCTGTACGAGAACCGCGCACCAGGAAGACAATAAATGAACACATCAGCAGCGCTGCTCACCATCGTGTTCGCCGGCGAGCAGCCCGCCCCAAGCAGTACCTCCTTCAGCTCCTTGCCGGCCGTGCGCGCCTGCTCCAGCCCTAGCTCTGTCAAGCCGTTGGCGGGGTCGACCCCCTCCTCCATCCCGGAAACGATCTTACCGGCAACGTTGGGGTAGCTCTGCCCGTCTGGGGGGGTGGGAGGGGGTTACGTATGTGTGCCGGGAGGGTCAAACGGAACGGGGGATGCTTTTGGAGGGTCTGGGAAACCTCACAGTATTTCGTGCTGGTGCTTCGTACAATACCCGACCCGTTGTGTTTTGTACATCCGTTGTCTTGTCTCTCCCGCCGCCAGAAGTCAATACGCGGGCGCCGTGGCTACTCGCGAGCAGCTGGAGGCACTCGTAGCACACGCTAACGCGAAGGTACGGGGGGGTTCTGGTCGAAAAGGCGGTACATGTAGGGTGGTCGGTTACAATGGATAGCTGTACCGCTGTCCTCCGTTGGTTGATTCGCGTGCTCTGTAAACCTTCCGGGTGGACCGACCCCCCCCCCCCCCCCCCCCC